CTCATGTCGTTTCAAACCAGTAAGACCTTCGTTCATCTTCGGAACACAAATTAAGATATTTTTGATGGAATCTGAGAGCTGTCTGACCCTGCATAGACAGCAACGCAACTAAAATGTTCCCAAGTCCAGAAACGTAGCAAGGAGATCGGTAAAATAATCCATGTGACATCAGGGGTTCATCCGCAATTATACGAAGCTACGAGAATACTTTTTGTGTGCAAAAGAAAAAAAAAACGACTTTATTCAACAATTCGTTGAACAGAACAGCATACGTTGTTTACGTCCAGCGGATATTCTCCAAAATAGCACCAGGGTGATGCAGAGACGAATTGTTGAATAAAGTCGTTTTTTTTTTCTTTTGCACACAAAAAGTATTCTCGTAGCTTCGTATAATTGCGGTTGAACCACTGATGTCACATGGATTATTTTACAGATGTCCTTGCTACGTCTCTGGACTTGGGAACATTTCAGTTGCGTTGCTGTCTATGCAGGGTCAGACAGCTCTCAGATTCCATCAAAAATATCTTAATTTGTGTTCCGAAGATGAACGAAGGTCTTACGGGTTTGAAATGACATGAGGGTGAGTAATTAACGACATAATTTTCATTTTTGGGTGAACTAACCCTTTAAGCTACTTCTCATTGATTCGATGATTACTGAGAGTCATTTGATCTCAACATGGCGCCCCCATGAGGCGACACGCTCCATGAAAATTAAAGCATTTTACTTAAAGCACTATTCATTTATTTAAATGTAAAACATTTTAAAAAATACTTTCAAAATTATAAGAATAAAGTAGCATTCTCTTTTTTTTTTGCTCCGAGATAAAAGCACATCAAACCTGCTTACTATAAAAAAACAAAACCAAAAAACAGTTCACTCTCCGTTCCAATAGATGGCGACAAAGATAATCTTAACATAACACTACAGAACGAGAGGAAATCTGGACAAAATAGCATTGAGCGCGTGTGAATGGTCGATCTGAAAATGTGTTAAGCTCATCAGTCCATATTCAATTTGTGAAGCAACACACCCCGTAATAAAGCTGTTTAACAGCAGCGATAATGCGGCGTCTGGTTTCAGTGCAGCAGAAGATCCCATGTGTTTTCCTGACGGAAGTGAGAAACGAACCATCCAGAAAACGCGACCGTCGGGTGGGTGAAATAAAACATCAGCATTTTTCTGTACATATTGTTCTCATGACCAAAACCCTGTAAACATTGTAAATGCAGTCCGATTGCAATACGAGATAATGCATTACAATATGGCGCATAGTATACCTCCTGTCGCGTCATTATTTTTAATTCATGTTTTCCATATTATTTTATTTAGTGCATTGAACGGAGTAACTATCCCAAAGCCAATATGCATATTCAGTCCAAGTTTATTTAAAAAGCACATTTAAAGGCAACAGTGGCTGATGTAAAAGTTCTATACAATAAAGCATACAAAAAACAAAAAAAAAATGCACAGGTAAATTCATCATGCATTGCATATATATGAGCTTGGATTAATTATTAGAATATTTTACTCATTCTCGTTCTGATCCTGCAGCAGTCTCAGGTGGTGGCCACTGAGAATGTGAACCCTTCTGCTCTTCAATCAGATATTCACTGTGGAGTAGCGACCGAGAAGATTGATGGGACGTGCTGCTATGTCACCACATACAAAGGTGTAAATGCGTCACAACGTGAGGCCAAGTGGTTATTAATGTTGGATCATTGTTGTTTATGTAAAAAAGACATCTTTTCAAAGGGTGTGGGTTGATATATTTTTTGAAATAATTTTCTTATGCTCAGCTAGGTATTTGATCAAAAATACACTAAAAAGAGTAGTATTGTTAAATATTATTACAATATAAAATTTACTTTAATATGTAATTTATTCCTTTAATGGCAAAGCTGTCACATGGTCCTTCAGAAAGCATTCTAATATGCCGATTTGATACTATTTATTATTATTATGAATGTATTATGAAAAAAATTGCTGCAAAATAATTTTGTGGACTTTCTTGAGAAATCTTTGATGAGTAGAAGGTTTGAAAGAACAGTATTTATAAATGTGTAATATATAATAATAATAATATAAATGTATGTGTATAAATGTATATAAATGTGTAATATATAATAATAATATAAATGTATATATGTATAAATGTGTATACGCTTGGATCGGAAACCCACCAAGCAGGCGGACAAGAGATTCAAAAGTATCAGTATTCGCAGAAGACCTGTAAAGGTATTTTAGTCCAAATACTTTTTAATTTAGATTTTTTTTTAATTATTATTTTCGTATGATTGAACTTACATAAATATTATAATGAACATTCTTAACATGTTTAACATGGGCTAACGAGAAACCTTCACAAAGCAGTGAATGAAAATAAAAGTTGTAAACATCCGATTTTTTGTAATTCTCTGCTAATGCTAAATAACAGGATTTGTGTGGATCGTAGACGAAGATTTCCGTGAAGCGCCAGAATCCTGGATCGCTGCTCACAGAGTCCAGCATGAGAATGGCCATCCAGTGCCGGACGAACATGGACACATACCAGGTGGGTTAGAGTCTTGTGACCGTTACACCTGTCACAAGTTATACTGTACTGAGTGAAAATAATGGCTTAGATGATATATCATGAAGGTTGGGTTCCGGTGGCTCATACCAACAAGCAGTACTGCTGGCACGCCTCTGTGGTCAACTATGATGCTGGTGTCGCCCTTGTCCTGAAGACACACGGAGAGGATGAGGGATTGCTTGAAATTGTCAGCGTTGCTCTGGCAGACCTCATGGAGCAAACCCTTGAGCTTATTGGAACCAACGTTAATGGAAATCCATATGGTGAATATATATATATATTTTTTTAAGTCTCTTTTGCTCACCGAGGCTGCATTTATGTTATTAAAAATGCAGTAAAAACAGTAACATTGTGAAATGTTATTACAATTTAAAATAAGGTTTTCTACTTGAATATATTTTAAAATGTAATTTATTCCTGTGATGCCAAAGCTGAATTTTCAGGATCATTACTCCAGTCTTTAGTGTCACATGATCCTTCAGAAATGTTTTTCTTCTGGATTCTTTGAATAGAAAGTAACAAAAATACAGCATTTATTTGAAATAGAAATAATTTGTAACATTGTTAAAGTTTTTACTATAATTTACTCATTTGAATGCTAGTTTAACTGTTAAGAAAGTAAGAAACTGAGTGGAGTTCTGTTGGTTTAGGCCGTGGCTGACTGTGTGATTCTGTAGGTTTGGGAAGTAAGAAGCATCCAGTCCATATCCTGGTGCCCCATGGGGTCCTGCGCATCCGGAAGCCTCCTCTAGTGGAATTCCAGCAGCTGTATTCCTGGTTTCAGGAATGCCAGGAGGGGCGAGTGGAGGGAATCGTGTGGCACTGTGATGATGGGACACTGGTCAAGGTAAATAAGGTTTCATGTAGGGCTGGTCAATAATTTAATATCAATATATATTGCAATATAATTTTTTTTTCAGTAACGGTGATATGATTTTGAAACATTTCTCATATTTCGATATACATTACCAGTATTTCCCATACATTGATTTATTTCACAACTTCGTTGAATAAACATGAACACTACACATTTCAAAATCAAAATGAGGCAAGGGTGTTTTATATAAATGTATCTTTGAAGGCAACCGAGTGTCGTCAGAAACGTTTCGATGGCACTTTCAATTTATCTGATAAAGCAGGGTTCATTGCTTACAGCAGTTACCGGGGAAACCGCTGTTTCCGCCGCTCCAAAAGCGCCTCCTGCTGGCAGTTTGGATTTTCAGTATGTCCATCTCCAGCAAAGTTTTGTTGCTCACTCATTTTTTTCTGTTTTCTGCAGCAACTCTGAGCTCCTTTTCATATTCTTTATCCTGGCTGAAGCACTTTTGTTTCAATCTATAAGAATAATCAGCCTACGTTATAGTTTAAAGTTAAAGATATTAATATTATTAAGGTGAGTCTGAGAGCCTTGTTTATTTGACAGTGATTTCACATTTCTTGTTTGTATGAAGGCTAAATATAAATAAAAAGTGAACATTAATTTATCTGTACCATTTTTATTTGTAAAATATTATATCGTTTAATAGGACGAGGTTTCATAGACATCTATGGTCTATTTGTAGGTACAGACATCCCTTGTGGACGTTCTTGGCAGTTTTTCTGAGGCTGTTAAAATATTGTTTATATCTGAATTATATCATATCGACCGAAATGAAGAGATATACCGTGATATAAATTTTGGCCATTTCGTCCAGCCCTAGGTTCATACATAAAACCGTCACTCTTCTGCTGCTGTTATCCACATTGTCTTCAGATCAAATCACTTTAACTCTTGTTCTCCAGATACACCGCTATCATCTCGGCTTGAAATGGCCTGTCGGTGACACCTTCCTGAACACCAGACCTGTGGGCGTCCACGTCGATGAAATGCCTGATCCAGATGCTTCTGAGGAGGACTTGTTCAAATTGTTTTCCAGCATAAATGGAAGACTCTTCAGATGCATACGGGACATTCAGTTTGAACCCTGAACCCATAAAATGAAACTACCACACATTCCTGTGAAATCTGGTTTTAACCAGAGTGAAGAATCTTTGCCAACATGTAATACTGGTCAAAACGGCCTATTGCAAATTCCCAAACTTTGCTCATATATGCACTTTGATATGTGATGTGTGAGAATGCTGTGATTTGCTTTATATTTGGCACTTTTTCTTTTCTTTCAGAGAGTGGAAGAGTTTTGTAATTTTTTTATTTATTTAATTCTTTTTTTTTTCTGCTTAAATACGTTTCAGAGGATGGTTCAGCAATATGTATATAAATAAATGGAACAAATTGACACAGATTGTCATTTACATGTAGGGAGTCAGTGATCGATAGATAATGTAAAAAGGTAAAATCCCTTCAGTTTCAGCTTTTTCCAGTAAGGCCATAAATCACAAATATTGTAAACCCTAACTTTATATGAAAATGTAATATTTTACAAAAAATAAATATGAACCTACTTGTGAAACATTGTACTTGAATATAAAGAGAAGCAACATTTGTACACATTTGGCTCTAACTGAGCAGTAACAATAAAATCGAATGACCTGAAAAACGATCTGATGTGTGTTAGCTGATAGACACGTCTATGGGAACCGCCAGTCCAAACTGATCCGACAGCTTCTTCAGCTGTTCCTCCAGGATGATGTTTTTCTTCACCTCCAGATTGTAGTTGAACTTTAGATCCTCAAGTTCCTCAAAAAAAGTTGGGTCAAAGTTTTCCAGCTCTCGGGTCAGCTTTCTCACTTCGTCCTAGAATGAAAGCATTTATAATGTGACTTGAGATTTAAAAACAGCAGAATATGTAGGCATTTTTCTTCAGGAATACCTGTAATTTCTTTTTTTCAGTATTTGCTGCCTTAATTTGTTTCTGGAGATCATTGTATCCTACAAAAGGAACAGGCAGATGATATACGTCTCATGTAGCCACAATACGAATTCTTCAGAAACTCAATGGTGATCTTACCTGGTCCTGCTTTGCTGGTTCCAAACTGCTCATCGTACTTTTGGATCTGGCGAAGAAGTTGAGCTTTTTCCCTCTCGAGTTGTTTATTGGCCAATCTAATTGGGAAATATTTAGCAAAGAATGAGTTTCGAGTCATTTCTTATGCTTTGAAGTCTATGTATATTAAAGCGCTTCACCTCAGGGACTGATACTCTCTGACAAGGCCTTCATCAGTGGTTGCTTCCACAGGGATATTTTTAAGCAGTTCCACCTGTTAATACATATTAGGTTATTAGATCTCTGAGAAAAAGAGCATTTTAAGGCTGGAATGCACTACGTTGGAACAGTTTTAAAACACATTTGCCAAATTTATAAATGGTTACAGAGAAATAAAAAAGACTGAGGGTCACACACTACCAGACTTTCAAGTCATTCTGAACACAACAAACTCAAGCAGAAACACGTGCCTCGTTGCTAGGAGACGCATGACAAATGAAAACAATAAGTGTACTAAAATTGGCTCAAAAAAACAAACATGTTACAGTAATGGCAGAATATGGGGATTTTAGTAAATAGCTGAAGAAGTGTCTCACTTGTTCCTTCAGCTGGCTGACTGTGTGTTGTGTGGCCTGCTGTTTCTCATTCGCCTCTTTCAGCTGCACCTTCAGTTCTGATATGCTGGAGTTTTTCTTTACGATTTCGCTTTCGAGACCTTTCATCTTGTTTTCAAATAACCTGTGAAGGGAAAAATGAATAATAATAGCTTACATGATGACGAAACTGATTAAGTATTTAGGTAAATGTACTACCTGGAAACAACTGAAGATTTCCAGGCCTTGCTGTCCGCCCCCTCTAAAGACGGCACCATTGACTGTGCCAATAAGAGCCTCTGATTGGTCTCCTCAAGCCCCGCCTTTAGTTTCTCATTGGCTACTTCAAGGTTGGCCTTTGCAACCCTCAGCTTATCTGCAGTTTCTGCTTCCTGCAGTTTGCCACAAAAACATATATACTGTATCATGATATATTAAGAGCATGTTTTACTGATATGAAGGTAATGAAAATTATATTAAAAAAAAAACCTTTTTAATATCTTTACGTAAGCGTTCATTTTCCATCATGATTTTCTCAATGCCCTTGGTTTTTGACTCAAGTCTAGCGTTTAGCTGTTCCTCTTGTTTTCCTTTCAGCTTTTCATATTCAGACTGTAACAAAAAGAAAGATGCACTTTATTATGCCAAGTAGAAAATAACTATTTGTCACATCACATTTAAAAAAAATATCACAATCTTATTGTTTCCACAAATTATACAGATGCAACTTGCAGATGGTCTTTGCAAAATTTTCTTTCTCTGTTTTTTTAACTTAAAAAATTATTTGATTCAGCAGATGCATTATTGATAAATATTGACAGTAAAACATTTATATTGTTACAAAATATTTATTTATATTTAAAAAAAAAAGTTCTTTTGAACTTTCTATTTATCAAAGAATCCTAAAAAAATGTTTCACGGTTTCTATAAAAATATTAAGCGGCACAACTGTTTTAAATGCTGATAATAATAAGAAATGTTGTTTGAGCGAATCATATTAGAATGATTTCTAAAGGATCATGTGACACTGAGGACTGGAATAATGATGCTGAAAATTCAGCTTTGGCATTACAGAATTAATACATTGATAATAATAATAATTTTTTTCTGTTTTTACTGTATATTTGATCAAATGCAGCCTTAAAATTTCTTTCAAAACCAAAAAGTCTTACTGAGCCCAAACTTGTGAATGGTAGTGTATCCTCCAACAGGTTCACAAAATGTACCTTCAGTTTCTCATGGTCTCGTTCTAGTCTAGCAAGCTGCTCCTGCACATTGGCCTCTGATGTCTTCTTTAAGCTCTCATTCTCTTTTTGAACCTTCTCCACAACCTTCTTCATCAGTGCGATGGTCTTCTCCAGCTCAGGAACGGTTTTCCCGCTGCGGCCAGACTGCATGAGAAGAGCAAAAGGAATGAATGAAGGAGATGAGAGGTTTAGTGTTTTAAGATCTCAGAGATGCTGCAACCTACCCCACGAATATGGCTGAGTCTCTTCTCCACTTCAGCTTTGTCCTTCTTCAAAACACTGCACATCTCTTTGAGGTCAGACACCTGATCCTTTCATCACAGGGAGAGTAAAGTAAGTACAACAGTTTTTTTAAAATGTATTTTTAGCATGTTATTAATCATTTCGATTTTACTGTACTTTTAATCGAGGCAGGTCCTTGTTTGCTTGCTCCAGTTGGAAACGAAGCTCCAGGTTCTCCGTGGACAACTTGAGGTTCTCTCTTTGGAGCTCATGTTCTCTTTGAGATGGTGTACCAGAACCACGGCCAGACGTCTGCTGAAACAACAAAGAGATGTTGATGCCATAGACAACATGCAGCTAAATAACACCCAGACAACGAAAACATTTCGGATTCAGGATGGAGAGGATGCAACACATAGACACCAATTGCTATGGGGCAAAAGCAGACACTCCGGGTCTGGAAAGGCGAAGTCACAAGCTCAAATCCAACAAAGCTATGGGGTTGAGAACTGGAAGCTTTGTGCTAGCACTTCAGTGGGAGCACCTATGCATTAAGTACCTTTCGAGCTTTCACTTTGCTTTGGTCTTTCTCACGAAAGGTGGTGACCTCGGATTCTACAGGTCCAAGAATGTTTAAGACATCACTTTTTATAACACCTGAATTCAGCTCCTTAGTGGGGGAACATTTTACGTTCTCACTTAAAACAGGGTCCACGTCTTCCTCAGGGATGAAAGACATGGTCTCCTCCATTGATGGTTCTTCAGACACCACTTTGGCATCAACTGTGCAGAGTGCCATTTCTTCTTCTTCAAGCTCTTTAGATGTTTTCAAATTTTGGCTTGGATCACCTTCAGATTTCAAAGACTCAATATGTTGTTCTTCAGGTTCTTTTTCCTTATCTCTGTCTTGTTGGTCATCCTCCAGATGTTTTTTTGACATCTCTGGCTCTGTGTAGGTCCTACTTTCTTCTGCGTTTGTCTTTTCATATTCCAGCTGATCTTCTTCAAGAGGCTTATCTGTCATCTCTTCTGTAACTCCATTAGTCTTCAGTTCTTCCTGTGCATTTTCAGCCACTACTATATCTTCCTCTTGTCCTCCTTGAGCCTCATCTGGTTCCTCTATATCTTTCTCACCCAATCCCTCTTTTTTGTTGTCTTCTTCCTGTTCACTTTTGTTCTCATTCACCAGATCTTCTGGTTCTACATCTACAATGCTCTCTCCTACATTCTCCTTGCTGTTTTCCTCATCTTGACTCACTTCTGCTGCACTCAATCTTCTGGATGAAGTTTGAGTTGCTTTGTCCTCTGTAACTGCTATTTCCTTTTCAGTGATGGCTTCTTTTTCAGGGATTGTGTCATTTACTAATGGAGACTGAATTTGTTCACTTTCACTAATATCGAAAGTCTTGGAATGAACAACTTTTGAGGACCAGCTGAGCTGAGATTGTGATGCCACATGTTTTTTCAGAGATGGAATAGAGGTATGGAAAAAGAAACAGATTTGAAAGGAATGCAAGACTGAAATTAATGGAGTGAAATTCATGAAAAGTGTTGAAAAAATATTTTATGTGTTACACCCACAGATGGTCTGGATGTAGACTCTTTGGACAGTTGACTCTCCAGGGAGTGAAGCCTCTCCTCAAGATAACGGTTCCTGATGGTGATATCCTCCATTGCAGCATCACGGGGTAAAGCCTGCTGCTGCCTACAAAACCAACAGTACATATTAAACATTCCTCAAGACAACATAAACAAACGGAACAAATTGGCATGACTGCTAGGCAGAACACACTTTATCACTTTGATTTGCTGCTCCAGTTCAGCGTTCCTTCTCTGTAGCTCCTCAATCTCTCTGTCAGCCTCGAGGGTCCGTACACCAACAACCTGATCTGCGGTCACTCCTCTGCCCTTTAGTTTCTTCTGGAGACCCACCTTCTCCTGCTCCAACCTTCAAAGACATCAGCCAACATAAAAATGATAGGGAATCTTCAACTTTTGTTCTTACTCTTAATAAATGCAGAAGTCACTCACATTTATCGCATACATTTTAAGATTCCTCAAACTGTGTTTCGAAACTGTCCATTATGTGGATGGATTAGTGTCACAACACAGACCTGCTGTAAAGTTCTTTGATCGTTGTTAATTGTTTAGACAGAGATTCCAATTCTTTCTCCTTCTCCTTGAGGACGGTCCGCACTTTCTCCAACCTGGCCTGCCACTTTTTACCTTCCTCCCACCTCAAGATTTCTTCTTTAGAGGACTGCAAATATAGGAAAAAGTCACATATATACATGAAAATGAATACTGTTATTTTGTTAATAAATCAGAAGGTCTGAACAAATCAGAGGAATATAATAATTTATTTATTATGACTACTATACTTTTTAATGACTCAGACAATGTCAGAAACATAGCTAGACTGTGACTTCACTACAAAATGTAAAATTAAATGTGTGTGTCAAAGAATAAGAGCTCAAATAAACATCTGACATCAAAAAGCCTTCTTCTACGTCATTTTCTGCTGATAATTTACATTTTTTTATTGCAGTAAATGCAATTCTAGTTCACCTTGTCCTCCTTCAGGGCACTCCTCTTGTCTGCAGGATCTGAGATGCTCTTCCTGTCCAGCTCCTGCTCTAACCTACGGATCTTCTTCTGAAGAGCTTCAACTGTGGGTCCATCACTCTCAACCTGAGCCTGCACAGACAAACACCAAATACATACACACACAAAAAGATATCTTTATACATATTTATTTAGACTCTCATTGTAGTCTTACTCTGACAATGTACTTTATCTCCTTTCACAAGCATGTAAGATTTTTGAATAAAGTCTCTTAAGCTCACCAAGGCTGCATTTATTTGATCAAAAATACAGTAAAAACAGTAATATTGTGAAATATTATTACAATTTTAAAATAGCAGTTTCTATTTTAATACATATGGCAAAGCTGAATTTTCAGCATCATTACTCCAGTCTTCAGTGTCACGTGATCTTTCAGAAATCATTCTAATATTCTGATTTGCTGTTTAAAAAACATTAGTGGAGACAAATTGTTGTGCTGCTTCATATTTTTGTAGAGACCATGATTGATTTTTTTCAGCATTCATAGTTTATGAATTTGTATAGAATATAATGTTATTTGAAGTATAAATCTTTTGTAACACTATAAATGTCTTTACTTTCATTTTTGATAAATTTTTTACTAACCCCAAACTTTTGAATGGTAGTGTACATGTCTTTGGTAAAGAACTATGTAAAAAGTTTAAAAGGTGCTACAGTATAAAAATAAAGTTGTACTTAAACATTGTAATTGTAAAAAAGCTAAGAAGACCATGATTACACATACAAATGTTTTTTTCTCTTTCCAAGGACCACAAACTGATAAGCGCGAGGATCTGCACAATGGTGTCTAGATGTATTCACTGCCGTCAAAGAAAGGCTCTGTTAAACCAGACACTGAGCAGAAGCTCTTCTTTTGCAGAGAAAAAAAGAGTTGCTGACTCACTGTCCAAGTGCTTTTCGAGCCACTGGTAGAATTACTCAAGAACAGTGAGACATACATTTCTTGACCTTAAAGGCACAATATGTAAGTTTCCGCCGCTAGAGGGCACGTATTCAAAACAAACTAAGAAACAAAGGCGTAGTTTGATGACGCCGTGACTGAGTGTGGAGTCATGGGAGTTGTCGTCTTCATCCCCACAGCCGAAGCAATCCGACGGGACTCGGGCAGAAATCATGTTCATGGATGAGCTAATGACTTATTAACGTAGTAGAATGAAGCAGGGTGAGGCTGAAAGCCGTCGAAGCGAAACGAGGCCGCTGAACGAGCGCGACACACGGCTCGAAAGCAGAGGAGCTTTTATTATGACTCACTTTAGCGCTTCCACTCCTTCCGGTCGTGCGTATGTGGGGTAAAGCATCGCTGTTTTATCATACTAGATACATTTGAACGTTCTGTTATAATGCTACTCTGTGCGGTCGTCACCTGTATAATAAAACGCATAACATATTAAAGCGTCTTTGGTGTTTCCATGTTTTCTACAAAACAAAACCGGAAATCGAGGGTGTATGACGTCATTGGCAGGCGACACAATGACACTATGGACACGGTCCGTGTCACTAGTTAAAATTGCTTATTTCTCTGGATTTAAACATTCTTCGAAACATTTGGGATAATGTAAGTACACAAGTCAGCAAAATATATAACACTGTTCTAGTGGTTTTTGGATATTTTAATAAAAAAATCTTACATATTGTGCCTTTAACCATTCATGGTACAAGTGAACAGGGGTGAAAAACACATGTGGTCTGACCTGAAGGCCGCTGCTGAGCCTCTGGACCTTCTTCTTCAGCTCATCCAGCTGATCCTCCAGAAACTCCTTTTCACTCTGCAGCTTGTTATGTGATTTCTGGCTCCTCTGCAAATCCTTGTTTAAGTTCTCCAGCTCCTCTCTCAGCGAGTTTTCTCTGGCTTTTGCTGCTCGTATGCCATCCTTAGCCTGCTGGAGCTCCTCATTAAGGTCTTTCACACATGCCTGATGAGGAACACAGGGATATAAAAATTTGTTGGTTAGGGTTGGGATAAAATTCTGTGATCTTAAAAACCAGAAAGTCAAAAGTTCATTGGTTGCTCCCATCAATGAACTGTTCAATAGCATTTTTAAAAAACTTGATTGACAAATCATTAATAAAAGCAACTGACCAATGCTTTTTAAAATAAGTTATGAGTAAGGTATTTTTATTGTTACATTTTAAACAAATAAATAAACCATTTTAAATTTAATTTATTCAATTACTTCAAGTCTTGCATACATTTTTTTAAAAAATTTAAATCAATTTTGTTTTGTTTTTTATGTTTACTTTGCATTGTCTTGTTCACGGTTTTCAAGGATGAATGGATGGTCAAGCAATTTGATGAGCTATAAAGTGACAGATGAATTTTTCTCATATAAAATCTGAAGCAAAATTTTGTTGACAAGTAAAGGTTTAGAAATAGGGTAAGATTTTAGGTTTCTTCCTCATCTTTACCCTTAGCTCCTTGGTCTGCTTATCGACAATCTGCTGAACATTAAGGGCCTCTTCCTTTTGAGCAGCATTGGCGATGATCTGCTGTTCTGCTTGAGATGTTAACTCTCCGCGAAGCTCCAAGAGAGCTTTACTGAGAGCCTGCAGATGAGGAACCGAATTATAATCTTAGTCACATTCAAACATCACATGGAAAAACTTGTCCAGAACAAATGCACAACATTTTGGACAAAAACATCATGGACCAAACAAAAAAGGCCCTCGTTAATTATTTCCAATAGCACAGCTTTCTATTGAAATTATGTGACTGCACATTTACTGTAGTTGTCCACTGTGTGGTACCTTCAGCTGTTTCTCCTTGAGGGCCAACTGAGTCTTCAACCGCTCCACAAGGTTCTTCATGGTGTTGGATGGTGATCTGACATTGGCTTCTTTCTGAGCCTCTAGCTCTGTGCGGAGGAAATGCAGCTCTTTCTCCATATGAATGAGCTGAGCTCTCAGCTCTTCTGCCTCCTGGGACAGACCCTTCGTTTGGGCAACATGTCTCTCCTCAAGTCTTGGAAATGAAAGCTCATTAAAAGTGGCACAAGGAATCAATGTCTTGATATTAGTCAGTATTTAAAAAAGCAGGGTTTAACTTGTTTTAATTTCTCACCTGGCTATTTCCATGGCTTGTGCCGCCGTCACCTGTTTCTGTTGGTCCAGCTCTGCGGTGACGACCTTCAGCTTGTGTGTCAGTGAGGAGAGCGAATTGTCCTGCTCAGCCACCGTCTGCTCCATTTCTGCCAAACGCACCAAGTGCTTATTGGCCGGTACAGTGATGGTGGGTTTCTTCATTAGCTCCTAGAGAAGAATAAAATTGAGTAGCGTACTAAATATGACAGCCGCCATGATTTATAACATTATATATATATCAAGTGCACTATAAATGTGTTCTTTCTTGATCCATTTCTGGCACTCTATCATAAGTTGAGTTTTATAATGAATACTCTAGGTACCAGAGCAGTCTGTTTGAAACGGTCCAGTGACGTGTCCATACAGACGTCCAGTTTTTGATGCAGTGCCCTGACCTCTTCCTCATGCCTTTTGGCAATCTCTTCCTGCTCCTGGGAAAATAAAAATGAAGATACATGAGCTTTTATATGGTTTTATTCTGCAATATGGATCACCAAGCCTCAGTTTTGAACTTAAATAGGCACCTGACGGGTCTTTGCTAACAGGTTCTGGTACTTCTTGAGAACCACTTCTTTTTGATCCAGACGCCCTTGTAGGTTGTTAATGGTCTGGTGGGCGGCCTTCAGGGCGGGCTGGCTATCAGAGTCCTCTTGTTTGCTCAGGTCAGCCAGGAGTTTCTCTCTCTCAGCAGCGGCTGGTAGGCGAAGCCTCAGTTCATTGATCACTTTGTCTCGGGATAAGACGTTCTTTTCTGATGTCCACAAAGCAGCTTCTTTTTCCTTCAGCTTCTGCTCAGAGAGAAAGAAACTCCTTGTAAGAAAATCTTTAAATCAAGGTTTATAATTGGTAAAGCTGACTTAAATGATTGCCCAGTCACTTGATGGATAAAAAAAAAAAGTACCTCTTCCAGAATTTTGCAGGTGGCTTTTGTCTCAAGGATGGTACGAACATGCTCTTTGATTTTTCCAAGAGCGTAGTCCAGCTGGTGCGCTAAAGGCTGATTTGGATCTGGTAGAGAGCCTGTGGCTTCCTCAAACTAAACCCAAACAGGACAAGTTAAGTGTAATTTAAACTGTAGTTCAGTAAACTGTAAAAAACATTTGTCAAGTCTGCCAAGAGTCAGTGTTGATGGCACCTTCTGAGCTGTACTTAAGACTTCATTCTGCTGTTTCTCATAGGTGTCGAGTTGGCGCTCCAATTGCACTTCTCTCTGATCCCACATCAGTTGCCGCTCCTCGAGAAACTAATACAACGATAACAAATAAGATTAGAAACCTTGAATTAAGCATGCTCTGTATACTGTAAAAAGTAGGGAAGAAGCATGTTTAAATGCAATACTGACGTTATTCTGCTGCACCAGCTCCTCTTCCAGGCCGCTGATGGTGCGTTCCTGCTGAGCCACAATGTTCTTAAGGTATTTTATCTCTTCCCGCTGGGCACCAAGCTCTCTGCTCTGCCTCATTTCTAACAGACGAACTTCCTCCAGTTTCTTATGCCACTCACTCACCTGTAGTGGTTGATATTAAGCTGTAAACACTGTAGTGGAATGTAAACTACTGTTTATGGGAACAATTTATTTTATTAATAGGAGTAACATAACTCATGTGAATAATTTATAAGTGCATCTAATAAAGTCTGTAACGAATATAGGAAAAATAAAGAATTAAATTTTTCCTAAAGAAAATGCAGGCTGTAGTGTAGACCATTGTTTTATTTTTTTTAAATTACATTTTAAGATTATTTTCTAGTGCTGGACAATGATTATTTGCAATTAATCGCATCCAAAATAAACGTTTTTGTGTACATAATATATGTGTGTGTACTGTGTATAATTATTATGCATATATAAATACAAACACCTGCATGTATATATTTAAGAAAAATATGTTATGTTTATATATTAAATGTAATATGTATATGTAAATACATGTAAATATTTTCAAAATATATACTAGATGTGTGTGTCTTTATATATACATAATAAATATACACAGTACACACACATATATTATATAAACAAAAACTTTTATTGTGGATGCGATTAAAGGCACAATATGTACGTTTTTTTATTAAAATATCCAAAAACCACTAGAACAGTGTTATATATTTAGCTGACTTGTGTACTTACATCCTTTCTTTGTTTTGAATACGCGCCCTCTAGTGGCAAAAAATGTAATATTGTGCCTTTAATCGTGATTGTTGCCCAGCACTATTATTGTCATGACAATAATGCACTTTTTATTACTGTGATGCAAAAATTACTATATTACAAAGATGACATAATACAGTTATAATAATCTAATTTAAGTCATTATTTAAAAAAAACAGTTTTTTAGTTACTTTAAATTTTTGTGTAAAATGTGCTTAAAACAATGCGTAAATACAAAAATAAAAGAAAATATGTTATATGCTTATGCGGTAAAATGTGATCTTTTTTGTAAGATTCTATAAAATTTATATGTATAAAATATATTAATAATACTATTAAATATAATATAAATAGGGATGTAATGATTAACTGCGAGCCGGTTGAAAATCGATTCAAATATGTGACGGTTCAAATCGGTTGAGATGCTAAACAAATCGCGATTCATTTAGGGGTAGGAGTTTATATGAATCCATGTCTGAGGGGAACTTACTGTCTTTAGAAAAGTTTTTGAGTGAATCGTTACATCCCTAAATATAAAAAATAAACAACAAAATATTTAATATACATAAAATAAATATATGTTTAAAATTATAATTATATGTTTTTTTTTCATGTGTGTAAATTATGATTTTTAGAATCATATCACAACTCTATTTGTAATCAATCAACCTACTTTCTGAGCTCCTTTGGCATCTTTCAGTGTTGCTATGAGCTCCTCCAACCCCTTCAGCTTTAGCTCCAGTTCTTGTGCCTTTCCTTCTGCTTTCCTCCTCTCCTCCTCCGCCTTATGCGCCTCCTCCCTGGCCCGTGCCTTGTCCTCCTGCAGCTGGAGCATGGTGTTGGAAAACTTCTCCTGTTGGGCCAGTGGCAGGGCTCCTGAGAACTGTCTGCGGAGGGCCTGGATAGTGTGGCGGAGGTGTCTGGCCCGCTGGTGACCCTCCTGCCTCGTTTGCCAAAGAGTCTGCTGCTGGGCATCCAGCTGCTGTTCGACTCGGAGCTTCTGTGCTTCGAGTTTCTGCAGGCGTGTGTTGGCTGCTTCCAGTCGGCTGATGGCTGTGGTTTCGCTCAGCTGGAGAGCCACAATGTGCTGGTGGAGTTTAGCGATGAGGGCCTTTTCATCGGACTGAGCCTGAGGAGGAGATGTGCAATTAGGAATGTGATCAAGAGGCTGCACAGCTGAAAAAAAAGAAAAACATACCTGGTAGTCCAACACCTGTCTCCTCAGGCTTTCTACCTCCTTCTTTCTTGACTGCTGTCTGGCTTCCAGAGTGGACACCTGCATTTTAGCGACATCTGACACCTCCCGCAATCTGCAAATAAAAGAGACGCTTGTGTACATTTTCTTGTGATATGTTATCACAGCAAGCATATGCACAGGCTGACTCATCAGTCTTACTTGGACACTTCAATCCGCAGGTCTGCCTCTGTTTTCTCCAGTTCGGTGATTCGCTTGCGATTGGCATCACTAATATCTTTGCCTACACTGTTTGCCAGCTCATCCCTGAGCTCCCTTTCTATCCGCTGAGCCTCCAGGTTTAATTTTGTGAGCTGTATAGGCATACAGAAATACATAGAAAATATTAGCTTATTAAATGTTCAACATACTGTTTTTTTTTTTTTAATAAAAACTTGTTTAATTTACAACATACTGTGTTTTATAAAAATAAAAACGTAAATTAAAATAAAAAGCTTATTTAACGTTCAACACACTTTTATAAAAATAAAATAGAAGAAAAGATTATTAAATGTTTCATATTGTTTTATAAAGAAAAACTAAATCATATTAAATATTTAACAAACTAAAAAATAAAATAAAATTAAAGCTAATATTTATCGCTAATATTTAATTAATATTAAATAATAATAATTTAAATCATATTTAACAATAAACTAATATTTGTTAATCTATTTCATTAAAATCAAATCAAATAAAAAACCTATATGTTTAACAAATTTATAAAATTAAATTAAAGGTTATTAAAATGTTTAACATACTGTGTTTTATAAAAATAAAACAAAAGCTTATTTAATGCTCAACTTAATGTGCTTTATTACAATCAAATCAAATCAAACAAAACAAAACAAAATGTTAATAAAGGTTATTAAAATGTTTAACATACTTTGTTTTACAAAAATAAAACAAAGCTTATTTAAAGCTCAACTTAATGTGCTTTATTAAAATAAAATAAAATAAAATAAACTGTTTATCACACTGTGTTTTATAAAAAAAATAAAATTAAAGGTTATTAAAATGTTTAACATACTGTTTTTTATAAAAATAAACCAACAACTTATTTGATGCTTTATTACAATAAAATAAAATAAAATAAAATAAAATAATAAAATAAAATAAGTTTTTGGTTTATTTTTATAAAAAACAGTATGTTAAACATTTTAATAACCTTTAATTTTATTTTTTTTATAAAACACAGTGTGATAAACAGTTTATTTTATTTTATTTTAATAAAGCACATTAAGTTGAGCTTTAAATAAGCTTTGTTTTATTTTTGTAAAACAAAGTATGTTAAACATTTTAATAATGTTAAATTAAATTAAAGGTTATTAAAATGTTTAACATACTGTTTTTTATAAAAATAAACCAAAAACTTATTTGATGCTTTATTACAATAAAATAAAATAAAATAAAATAATAAAATAAAATGTTTATCACACTGTTTTATAAAAATAAAATTAAAGGTTATTAAAATAAAATTAAATAAAATTAAAGGTTATTAAAATAAAATTAAATAAAAATTAAATAAAATGGAGTGTCTAAGCTAAGTTTTTTTTTTTTGGCATTTTACTATGTGGTTGCTATATTCTGGATGGATGCTATGTGATGCAAAAGATAAATCAGACCCACCTCAGCAAACTTGGTTTCTAGTTCAAAGTTGCGCTCTTCCACCTGTTTGAGGGAGTTCCTCAGGTGCTCGTACATCTTCTGAGCATGTTCAGCCCGCTGCCTTTCATTTAACTCCTTCATCTCCAGCGTTGTGATGCGTCTGGACACAGATACAATCTCGCTGTTGGCCAGGGCTTTGGCTGCCTTTTCCATGTTGTTCTCACCATCTGTGAACACCAGAAATAAATGACATCAATTGCAACGCTTTAACATTGCTTTTATGTTTTCTAATCAATCAGCAGTGACGTTTACCAGTCGTGCTGATGTTTTCCCAGGCCTGCTCCAAAGTGTGAAGCTTCTCCTTGCTGATCTCAAACTCTTTATTGATGGAGTTAATGCTCTCATGTAAAGACACATTCTCCTTCTGAAAGGAATGGAGAGTACTGTAAGAAAAACAAAGAAGGTCCATTGCTTAATGTAACTTGTGAGTGATGTACCTCCAAGTGCTCCAGGGTGGTTGTCTTCTGAACGAGGTGATTGTCTTTCTGTAGGAGGTTTCTGTACTTGATGGTGAGCTCGGTGTATTGTTTGTTGGCTCTCTCCAGCTCCGATGCAGAAACACTACCATCAAGGGATTTCTGCAATGCGGCCATTTTAAACACTGCCATTTCCTGAGGGCAAAGTAAGTTACAGAGGTCAGCAGAGGTCAGTTACAGCCCTCAGCAAAGATGACCACCATCCCTCATAATGAAAGACCAGTACGTATATATTAGCCAGGCCAATTAATCTGTCAAAACACAGCCTTGGAAATCCCATCATTCCCATTAATTTCTTCTCAAGTGATATACATAGGCCTAATACCTTGAACCTCTGCAGGTAACCGATCCTTTCAGTTACAGCAGCCTCCATTTGAGTGAAATCATCCTTCAGTTTGCCGTTCTCCTTCCTCAAGTGTTGCTCGAACTCAAGCAGAGTCGTGTAACGTCGTGTCAGACACTTCTCGTTCACCCTGAGAACCGTCATTTTTCGGGCCGTCTCAGCCAGCTCCCGTCTGGTCTCACTCGGGTCCTTTTCAAGAGCCTCAAGCCAGTGCTGGGAATGTGTCAAACAGATAATGGGAAGTGCAAAAGGGAAAAATGAGAAATGTAGTGTAGTTTTATTTGATTTTATATTATATGAAGACATAAGGCATTTAATAACCATTAGCTAAATTGATTTTTTTCCAATGCAATGTTTCAAACCAAATTTTTCAAATTTGAGACATCAGTTTGTTAGCAAGTCATTACAGTTATACAGATTTGAGTTATGGGTGAGTAAATGAAGAAATCCTTTTAATTTCGAGTGAAAATGATCAACTATCCCTTTAAGAGACTTACATTGTACTCTTTGACTTTGACTGCGTCCACCTCCTTTTGTTCCTCGAGTTTGGATTTCAGTTCGGCAAAAGAGTCTCTCTCTTTCTGCCAAGACTCCCTCTCGCTGAATCAGAGCACATGAGGTGATGGTAAAATCAAGCTTTATTGGTCACTGAACATATGTGTAATCGAACATGTTTTATAAGCAATATTTTTGGATCAGCATACCTCTATATATACAATATTTTATAATATAAACTCTCCTATTGGCTCGGCATACCTTTGATACTCCTTGTATAGTAGCCCTTGCTGATGGCGGATCACTGCAAATTTCCTTTTATAGTCTTCCAGAGCTGAACTGAGCTGCTCAATGGAATCTTCTTTGTTTTTGAGCTCCTGAACATCCACAGTTCGGAGTCTTAATATTATGTGCGTTACATCTGGTTTCTGTTATAATGTGATACAGTAACTGGACTGAGACACACACACACACACACACACACACACACATGTAGGAGTTGTATCGTGTATTCATTGAGAGCGTTGATGACCTCGGCACTAGTTGGCGTCATCTCTTCAGGCAGAGCTAATGACTTGTAAGGGATGGAAGTGCCAGCTGATTTGCTCATTGATTCAACCTCACTTTCCAAATGAGCAATCTACAAAAAAAATAACATATAAAAAAAAGAGATGAAAACTTATTTTTTTTAGATCAGTAAAAGTTTAAAGCTGCAGTCCGTAACTTTTTTTGGTTAGAAATGATCCGAAATCAATATTTGAGCAAGTACATAACCAGCCAGTGTTCAAAACTATTGCCTTACTTTAGCCTGATTCACAACGGAAAGCTTATAATGTTTTCTAATTTGAGTTGAACTGGTAGGAATTCACGGGAAATTTGAGCATGGCACTGTGTCATTATGTCACGTCTGTAAACATAAAGAAGTTGTCCCGGCTACTAGGCTATCGCATGTGAGGATCCTGCAGGTGGACGATCGTTTATAGCCTTTTCTCACAGCAGCTGGAATAATTAAATGTATCATTTTGATGGCGGATTGTAATCCAGAAAGGATCATGTGTTTATGAAATATATGGGACTTAAATGAACATATAGTCTATTCCAGTTTTAAATGCGCATGTGATTACAGATGCTTTTTTCCTCAGCTGGTCAGAACAAACGTGGCAGACTTGTTACTTACTTGTTCAGATGACAATATCTTATTTGAGTCATATATTGCAAGACGTAGGCTAGAATCTGTGATTGCGAAGTAGAGTAAATATCCACACCTGTGCGGTGACTGACTGCCACACATTCACCTCTAAACATTAGATTAATCCGCGCTGGAGCCGTACCGGAGCACAACCCACACAAAGAAAATAACTCCACAAATAACTGTAATTGCAGGTTTTCAAACAGAGATGGCGACAAAGAGGCAAAACTTATGGACTGCAGCTTTTAAGTTGGTAATAAATAAATACCTTCTCATTAGCTTTTGTTAACTGATTGAGATTGTTTGCTGCCTCCTCTCTAGCTGCTTTCATCTCCTGCCGTAGCTCCTCGTTGCGGCCGGTCAGCTGATCTACCTGCGTTCTGAGGTAGAGGCTTGCATCAAACTTTCCCTCTGAGTACTTCATCTCCAGAGCCTAAGATAAACATAATTATCACTCATATATGTTGTGACAGGATATTTAGGAAGAGTAATTTCACTTTGCTACAAGAGGGAGCAAAAACTTCATATTTAAATAAGATTAAAAAAAGTTGTTAAACTGTGTCAAATTATCACAAATTTATCAGTATGACTAATCACTAGGTCTACTGTACACAAAATCTATGCTTGCAGAAACCTAATGGAAACTCTGCAGATTTCCACAGAATTTGACTTCCTGTCGCCACTTGCATGGTTATCAATTTTCCCCACTACAACTGCATTTTGTATAGGTTTTTATAAAAAAAAATGTTTTATTAAAGTGTCAAATTTAAGCTAATATGATAATCTTTACAGCTACCAATGAGAGTGTTGCACTCTCAGCTCAGTTAAACACATTTTACCACAATAAGGGCATTAAATGTATAATTTTACATTTAAATGTATAATTTCTAAATGCATAATTATGACATTTAATATTTATTTACATTTATATTTATTTATTATATATTTATTTAATTTGTTAAAAATAAAATTTTTATTTCCATAGAAATATTTTTTCATTAAATATTGTATTACACATTAAATGTGCAATTTTAAATGTAAATGTATTAAATTGCCTAATTACATTTATTATTCATTTATAAATGATTTTTTTCACACCTATAATTTTCTTCCATCAAATACTGTATTATTATTTAGATGTATAATTTTATATTGACATTTATCATTTGTAAATGCATAATTATGAGATTTATTATTTATTTTTAAAAGCATTTTTATTTATTATATTTTTAACTAGCATTTATAACTTTAAATGCATAAGCATAGATTTTATTATTTATTTCTACATTATTAAAATATAATTTAGTATTATTTTCACACAGTTATGTTTTCCTTTATATATTATATTACTCATTAAATGTATAATTTTATATTCAAATTTATTGTAGGTAATTATTGCATAATTATAAAATGTATCCTTTATTCATTCATTTACAAAATTATTATTTTTAATAATAATAATAATAAATTATTATTATTATTTCTCATACATATTTAATTAAATATTTAAAAAAAATGGTTGCAATAATGCAATACTACACAGATTTAGTGTGGACCCAGTAACTGTTGGTGAACATACATTGACGAGTCTCTCCAGGCTGGGAATGCTGACGCCAATGGATGTGGGTGTTTTCTTCTGAGTGTCCTGGATGGCCTGCAAAATCTCTTTCATGCCCTGCTCCAGCTGTTTATTCTCATTTAGCATTTCATTCACTGCAGGAGAGAGAGAAACGTTATAGTCACAGAAACCACCTGACACTGCAAGTATACAAAGTTCACGCAGTGATGCTGCTCACATCTGGCTTTGAACTGGGCGGATTCTGATCTCTTGAGCTCAAGTTCTTTCTCTTTGTTGCTCAACTCTTCCTGCAGACGTTCGTTCTGAAAATCAAACAGGTTGTTAGCTTAGCTTTAATGCTTATGATGTTCAAAACTCATTCTTTTCTGATATATGGCTTACTTTGCGTTTCATCTCTTCATCGGTGGATCCAGAGACAGGCCTCTCTCTAAAAGATCTGCTGGGCTTTTCTTCAACACTGTCATCAAGCAGTGAACTACTAACCACTGATATGCCTTAAAAAGGAAATGTGCTGTCAGGTTTATGTGAATAGGACATGTGTGTGTAACTGATATGCACCATCTTGGAAATAATATCTCACCTTTGTCCTTCACCAGCGCACGAATGCGTTGTTTCAGCTCGAGCCTTTCCTCCTCCAGACGCTCAATCTAAGGAGAGTCCCGTTAGGGGTCACGGACAAAATTAAAGAGGGCTAACGGACAAAAATCAGACCATAAAGATAACGTTAATCGGTTTTACCTCTTTCAGCAGGACCTGGTTCTCTGCTTTGTACTGTCTCTGCTTCAAAACCTTTGATCTCCGGAATTCACTCAAATCCAGTTCTTCCTTTGGATTTAATCCTGGTGTAGGAAAATTATCTCATTGAGAGTCAAAGCAGATTTTTATCTTAGAAAAATATGTAAACAATGGATATGGATATGGATATGAAAACAATCTAATATGTCTGGGTGTCGAGATAATTTATACGGGATTCCTGAAAGAATAAAAGCAGGCTGAGGAAACTTACCAAGGCGTTCTCGTAGGTCTTCATTCTCATCTAGCAGATTGTTAATTTTGATCTCCAGTTGGTTTATCTCTTTTATCATGGATTCTATTTCCCGGTCTCTCACTCTGATTTGATTTTTACATTCTTTGATCTCAGTGATGGCAGCTTCCAAACCATCCGTCCCCTGAAAGAAAGTGGAGTGTTTCAAGCCAAACTTCTTTTTAAGTATACTGTAAAATTCTATAGAATAAAGTGACTCGCTTGTTTTCTGAATGTTTACCATTTGAATTACTTGTGATCAAGAGTTGCTAGCTTCCAACAAAAAATTGTAGAATGTGCATGAATACTTTTCTATTTGACAAGTTGCCCAAAGCGTTATTGCTAGAATCTAGTAAGGACGATCATTTTAAAATGACATTAATAAATCAAGTGCAACCTGATATTATTTATTTTATACGAAAAGATGGATTATTTGAACATAAACATGAATATCTTTAACGAGTGGTCACAACGATAGACACAATAAAACAACAAAAATAAAATGAAAATGTTGATTTTATTTTATTACTCCTTTTATATATATAATTTATTTATTTATACGTATTTATTTAAATTAATATTAATATAATAATTATTAAATGATTGAAAATATTCACATTTTCATTAAATATGGTCAAAAATTAGCCCAAAATTGAATAGTCACAAAGATAGATGTAATAGATTAAAAATTAATAAAAATGATGATAAACATATCAAATAAAAAAAAATAAGATGCTTTAGCAAAATAAATGAATAAATAAACAAGGTAAAAATTACATACAACTTTGTCTAGTGAGCTTATAAGAAATGTTTATGTATAAGAAATGTTTATGTTCATTATAAGAAAAGCTTATTAGATTTTAGATTCAAGAAAAAGACCTTGTGAAGATGCTTTGTGACTTCACCAAGTTGAAGATGCCATTGGAAAATCGAGTAATTAATTGTCCTAAACCCAAGAATATATATATAGCAACCCCAAAAAGTATTTCGACTTGTAACAGGAGTGAATTTTACACCACTGAAAATGCAAAGGGATAAACTCACAGACTCATAGAGACGGATTCGACTGAGGGTGTCATTGAGCTCTTTGTCTTTGTCTCTAGCATCACGTTCAGCCAGTTGGGCTGCACTTTCAGCCTCCAGAGCTCTCCTCTCAGCCACCTGCAGTTTAGAGCTCAAGTCTTCCAACCTGCGATGCTGCACGCTGGCGTTACCTTTATCTTTATGTTTCTTTACCGGTTTCTTCAGCTCCTCGATGAGCACAGCATTCTTTTCCATTTCTGCTGTGTACTGCTTGACTTGCTCAGACAGCATCTTGATCTGGTTGTCCCTCTCTTGCACAGCCTTTTGAAGTCAAACACAAAGTCAATGACTTCCTTAACCCCCGTTGGGATAAAATAAGATGAACCAATATGATGAAAACAGATGAGTGATGACAGACGACAGATGTAAAACTGAGGAAGAATGACACATAAAGCAAAGGAAATGAAAAACAGAGATACTCACGCCACACAGTTCATATATGACCTGACTTGGCCGAGTGGTAAACAAGAGAGAATGGAAAAAGGGAACATTTGGAAGCCAATGAAGCATTTGAAAGCAAGCAGTAATGAATAAAAGGAGAGTGCATCAAAAAGAACACACAAATAGAGAGAGAGACATGATACTGCACACAAACTAAGTCAATCTGAGGCCTGTTCCACACATCTTGCATCTGTGGCCAGTTTCAGTGGCCATATTAATAGGGTCCAGCATTCACGCTGTGTTCAGAAGCATCACAGTGGTGATGAGAAGTTCTGCCACTGACATTTTTTTTCTCATTTGTCATATATATAATATAAGAGAAAACATTGAAATGCACTATAAACCTATTGATCAACACCATATTTTGCAATACAGGCTTTTATGAAGCAACAAAAATAAAAGAGGGACACATTGTTTAAAACAATACATCTGGCGGGCTACGTTCCACATGCAGTGACAGACAAATCTTGCTGGATTTTTGTCATTTTAGCGGTTTATAGCTAAACTCTGAGGTTTGGGTTCCATTCCTTATGAATTCATTCAAATATGGCAACTTCCTCATGTAAATTCAATTTTGACAATAATCAAGTTTGTAATCAAATACTTATATGATAAATTCTATTAAAGGAGTGCTATTCAAGGAACTATTTAATGTAATAATCCAGAAATCACTTTATTTCCAGTATAGAGTATATATTTTGTCACGATTTGTGAAACAGGCCTGAGACAATGAGACATACCTTTTATCTTAATTAATGTGATAAAAAATTTAACCAAGTGGAAGTAATATGTTTGGTTGATAAATCAAATTTATATCAGAGAAAGAAATTAAACTAATGACTTAAAAGTGTATTAAAATACCATCACCTCTACATACATGATTAATGAACTGAACTTAAATTCAGAAATTGTCATTTCTTATCAAAACACAAGTTTATATATACCCAGTGTATAATTTATATTTTGTTTGCTTGTTTTCTGTTTTAATATATTTTAAAATGACATTTATTTCTGTGATGGCAAAGCTGAATATTCAGCATCATTACTTCAGTCTTCAGTGTCACATGATCCTTTAGAAATCATTCTGATATGCTGATTTGCTGCTCAAGAAACATTTCGTAATATTATCAATGTTGAAAACAGTGATATAAATTTTGTTGGATGAATGTAAATTTAAATGATTTATTTATTTATAAATTATTTTATTTAAAAAAAATATATATATAAATGATATATATGCGTGTCTGACTGACCTGCTGCAGTGCGATAATGTTGCTTTTGTCAGAGTCCATCTGAGCAGCTCGAAGTTTCTCCCTCAAGTCTCTGATCATCTGCTGATACTCCAACATTTCCAAATCTTTCCCTGATAAAATACTCTGAAACACAAACAAATACATGACAGTTTACAGCATCTAGAACTCTCAGCTACCAAAAGAATAAAACTGGCATTTCCCTCATTTCACATTATGTTCACACTGTGACAGTGTTGGTCGTCTGGTCAGAGGAGAACTGGCCCCCCGACTGAGCCTGGTTTCTCCCAAGGTTTTTTCTCCATTCTGTCACCGATGGAGTTTTGGTTCCTTGCCGCTGTCGCCTCTGGCTTGCTTAGTTGGGGACACTTCATTTCCAGCGATACCGTTGACTTGATTGCAAAGATACTATTTAAACTGAGCTGGATGTTGACATCACTGAATTCAATGATGAACTGTCTTTAACTGAAAAATTAGTGTTTACTATTGTCATTTTGCATTATTGACACACTATTTTCCTAATTAATGCAGTACAGTTGCTTTGACACAATCTGTATTGTTAAAAGCGCTATATAAATAAAGGTGACTTGACTTGACTTGACTTATGGGTTGTCAGGATGTGTGATACTATTCTGCAGGTTAGACTTTTGGCGCTGATTTTTCACCGCTTAGAGCAGGGGTGGGCAAACTTGGCCCTTCCAGGCCACTTTCCTTCCGAGGTTAGCTCCAACCTTAATCAAACACACCTGAACCAGCTAATCATTGTCTTCAAGACTACTAGAAGGCTACAGGCAGGTGAGTTTTATCAGAGTTGGATCAAATCTCTGCAGGAAAGTGGCCTGGAAGTGCCAAGTTTGCCCAACACTGGCTTAGAGGCTTGGCGTGGTGTTGACAAACCAGGCAGTAATTGAGCAACTCTAATTACTAGTTGTTCAGCTTTTTGGGCCTTTTCCATCAGATAACATGTCTATTCAGTTACAGTGGAAATAGTTATAGTGCTTGGAGTCGCAGTAGTGTCAGGATGTTAAATATGATACTTGTTAGTTTATTTGATATTCCTATACAGCAGCTATTTGTATTCCATTTGTTATGTGTCATAAATGTTAAAAACAGAAGCACTTTTGAGTGTTTTAACTCTCTCAATCAGGTTACGTGAACTTCATTTGTGTCTGGAGTTTATTCTTTACTTTGAACTAGCCTATAAAAATATTCTCTGTATTATAAGTGTTGTCAACTGAACATGTTAAGTTATTATAATTAATAAAAAAAAGTGCATTAAAAATAAAAAGCAACATTAGGTTTTTGTAATGTCTATTCAATGATTTACTCGTTTGCCACACAAATGTCTTCGAGTTATCTTTATTTGGGAGCTTTTCAAAGAAAATACTGATATATAAGTTTATATATTTTTTTAAATAAATTAAAAGCCCAAGTATTTTTATCCACATTTTTATAAGCTGAATTCCACTGAAGATGCATGCTAGCAAAATGTAAAAAAAAAAAAAAAAAAAAAAAAAAAAAAAAAAAAAAAAAAAAAAAAAAAAAAAAAAGTTTTTTTTTGGATTGTTTCCTCAGATGACAAAACTGTTGGTTGAGTCTGGCACAAAAGCAAATATTTAACCTTTTCTTCAGAACTTCAGAAAAATGACTCCTCAAAGACGTGAGCAATTTCAGACAGGTAAAACCACATACAACCAAAAGAAAAACAACAACAGCCACTTCTGCAGTAGTGAGAAATTAGCAAAGTTCATGGAACCATTTGAATATAAGCTGGTTTTATTTGTCAAAGCTGACATTTACGAGTTTGGGCTCACCTTCCACTCTTCAACTTTGGCATTAACGGCAGCCATAACTGGGTCGTCCTCTTCAACTCGAGCCTGGATTTGTTCATTTAGCTCTCTGACCTTTAAAAAGACATCTATTTAAAATGAGTCCATTAATAACAATTTTTTTTTTTTTCAATCATAAAAGAGGCCACCCCCTCAATTACATGCATGCACACTCAAACTACTTAGATTTATGCAAAACTCAACCTTACCTATTTATTTCTGCCAAAAGTGGCTAGGAGAACCAGTTCATGTGGCACAAATATTATATCAACCAATCAGCATTCAGGACTGAAATGATCCATTTTATAATCTTGATTAAAGCACCTGAAGCTTGGCATGATCTCGTTCTTTTCTCAGCTGATCCATGATGGCATCCGTCTGCTGGACTGCGATCTTCATCTTGTTGTATTCATCCGTCATCTTCTCCATCTCCTTCACAGACTCCTCCAGATTCTTCTGCAGGTGCTCGTTCTCGCTCTTCAGGTTGGCAGCCATGTCCTCGGCATGCTGGGAATAGGGAGAATTTGTGGATCACAACATGAAGATGACACATAACAGGAGACTGCATTTGAAACATGCTTTAAAAGGTGACATATACAGGACTCTCCTTGCTACTTTTGAAATAAAAGACACCACTAGGATTGAAAATCTACCACATGAAAAATAACCTGCACACATTTTGGTGTCACATTTACATATTAATACTGCAATATTATCTATTTTCCATGAGCGTGCGATTCATAGGTCGCACATTCACACTATAGGTAAATAACCAGAGGAATAGTGCAGAAAACAATATATAAATAAAAATAAAAACAATTAAAACTAAAAAGAAATCTTGAATACTGATATAATGGACTTTAAAAACAATTTAAGTGCTACTGAACTGTATGTGTATAAATTAAGAGTGAAAATAAAAATAAATTATATATATATTTATTTATATATTATGTCAAACGATTAATCGCATCCAAAATAAAAGTTTTTGTTTACATAATATATGTGTGTGTACTGTGTATATTTATTATGTATATATAAATACACACACATCTTAATGCTTTTAAACATTTTTCTTAAATATATACATGCATGTGTGTGTATTTATATATACATAATAAATATACACAGTACACACACATATATTATGTAAACAAAAACTTTTATTTTGGATGCGATTAATCGCGAATAATCATTTGACAGCACTAATATATACATATAACATTTTTCACTGTGCAAATTTATTTATCAGTTTATGCTTATGAGAAAATTATAAATGTGTAAAATAAGTGTAAAATACGTCCCATTTAAAGAAGAATTGCAGCATTAGAGGTGTATTAATCTAGACAGTGAGCCTGCCATGTTATGATGGCATTATATGGTAGGCTGAAGGTGATTTGGGGATTACCTGCAGGTCCTCCATGCACTGGTAGAGCTGTTGGTTGGCTTTGGTAAGTCTCCTCTGAATCTCATTGCTCTCCTCTTTGGTCTGAAGAGGCTCTCTCTGCTCTACTTCCTTTCTGTAGAACTCCACATCCTGTCGCAGTTGTTCGTTCTGCAGTAAGGAACAAATCCATTATTCAACGTGCTGTCAAGCATGATTCATTACTAAATGAGTTGATATCATACATCATTACAGGGTGTCATATTACTTAATTCACAGCACTTTTGAATTCTCCATTCCAGACGTTTGACTCCCATTGCAGTAGTGTTGATTCATTTTCTATAATTGCACAGTGGTGAAGCCATCACTCAGGGCTTAGTAATAAAGTTGGCCAGTTCCAGAGAGTTTCGGGCCAGTTCTAAAACAGACACTTGCTCTATCATGGAGTGCTATGTTGATCATGTACATCTGATTTTATGCTATGAGTTGTTGCAAGTTGAGCTGATTTATATACAAGTTAAGATTATCTAGCTGCCTAATGTATAAGGTTATACATTATAACGAAACTTGCAGTTGTAGAAAGAATAGACTATAAAAAATGACATTACTGTCATTATATACACAAATATACAGTACTGTTTTCCAGAAAAATAAATTATGAAGTTATAGCTATAGCTATATAATTTCAAATTTTATTCAAAATTAGTAGCTTTGATAATGGCAATAAAAAAATTTTAATTGCTTTTTTCTTTGATATACATTTTTAATAAAATGTATTCATTTATTTTAGTTTCTTAAGAAAACCTACAGTATAAAGTTATTTTTTTCTTTTCTCTGACATATACACATAAAATCCTACAGATTTTTGTGGTGGGCTTAGTTAAATTATTCCCTGAGAAAATTGTTTTAAATTAATGAAACAGTCTACCATAGCCAAAACAACAACAATAACAAAAATATGCCAAACCAGATGGCAATTTGAATTTATCCAAGGACACCTTGAAGAACAGACCAGCCTGGTGGTGCAGTTCCAACTGACATAAACATGCTTCTAATAAATAGACTGGCTTCTCTAATTCTGCCTAATCTGGGGTCTTACCTTCTTTGTAAGCTGGTTTATCTTGAGGGGGCATTGACAAGAAATGACAGCAAGGAAAGAAAAGGATAAAAAGAAAACAATAACAGGCATGCATAAAAATGAAATGATCAGTTGTGGAATAAAGCTGAGAATAGAAGCAAATAAAGCTGATATAAACGAGATAATGGAATGGATAAATGAAAGTAACAGAAAGAGAAATATTTAAAATTGTAGTCTTTACACAGGAAATGACTGGACATACCTCTCTTTTGAGTTTCCTGTTCTTCTCTTCTGCCTCTTCAGCACGGAGAGCCAGCTGCGAGATGCAAAATATACAACCAATGCATTAGATTGTTCTCAATTCCACATCATCCCTATTATTATTCCATACTTTTTGTTTTTAATGAACAGGATATTTATCCAACAATCAAAATACATAACGTTGTCACCTTTTTTGACACATCTCAATTCAAAAAATGATTTAGAATTATGAACCTTTTAGATTTTAATTACCAAAACCTAACATTTATCAGACCCTGTAGACACTGTCTATAGCATATCAGGAAGAAAAGGGAATAATCTCATTCCACGTTCTCAATTTTTACACAAATTTAAACGTGCATCAAGTCAAACACTCAACCGTTGCCAAAGTTAATGTAAAAAATGCAATTTTCTTTAATTTATTTAACAGCTCCTAATGTTTGATATGTTTTGATAACATTTAAATTAACATTCCTATTATCTAAGGTATATTCTACTGTTGTATTGCATTTGATCAACTTTTATCTATTTAATTTTGATGTTTATTGCTGGAAAAACAACAAAATTACACAAATTCTGGTTTTAAAATGCATTTATTCATGTCCCAAATTTTGGTAACAGGGTTGCCGAAATAACAAATATCATATCAAATGAAAAAATAGAACAGCTCATCTAATATTTAATTTGAGCTCGACGGTGAATATCTGAAGGTTTAGCACTTCCTTTCACCGACCATTTACTGATAAAAAAAATCTCTCTCTCTCACTCTTTTGTACCCTATTCGTGGAAAGTGCCTACCTCCTCATTGGCTTTCCTCTCCTTGCCCATTTCCTTCTCCAGCTGGGTCACCTCTCTCTCTTTGCGCTCCAGCTGACTCTCCAGTTGGTGAATCTCATCCCGGAGGAAACGTGTGTCACCCACTCCCATCACGCGCTGGGCCATCTGGACAGGAAGCAAGGCGGATCTGAATAAAGCTCAAGACCCAAGACCCAAAACTCTCCATCTGTATATATCTCTGACACTGGTGAGTTGTGCAGCTCAATGACATCTCGCTTATTTCACAATAATAAACATATCAAAGGAAATGTGATGTGCAGAACAACTATAGTTTTAACAGACAGCAACACACAAGGAATTAAGCCTGTAATCCTTTTAAGACTGTACTTGTACACAGATGATGCAAATCAAATAAGCGCACTTGTACACACAATTATTAGTGTAATACCTCCCTTACCTCTAGCTCACCCTCCAGCTTTAGGACTTTGGCTTTCAACTCATTTTCTGCAATCATTTAATACACAAGCATAAATATATTACTTAATAAATTGCACTAATATGTTACAATTCTTACAATCAACTTCATAACTTATAAACCATAAAACAATAAAATATTAGGATGTTGTTTGAAACCATTACAGTGCTTGAAAAGCTCTAGCATTTAACATAGTTGTTAGATAATCTGGTGACACTTTAGTATAGGGACCAAATCTCACTATTAACTAGTTGCTTATTAACATGCCTATTATTAACATATTGGCAGTTTATTAGTACTTACAAATCACATATTCTGCATGACCATATTCTACATCCCTAATCCTACCCAATACCTAAACTTAACTAACAAAAATTACCTTACTAACTATTAATAAGCAGCAAATTAGGAGTTTATTGAGGCAAAAATCATAGATAATGGTTTGTTAACAGCGAGAATTGGACCTTAAAATAAAGTGTGACCGATAATTTCAGCCTTAGGTTTGCTATGTATACTGGATTTTTAAATATAATACTTTGAATTTATGTCTAAAATGATTTACTGAAGAATTTTAAGATTGAGATTTGAAATCTCTCACGGACATGTTCTGCATTCAAAATCGAATCGCTGTTGATGTCATATACAGTATGCATGATGAATTCTGATTTAAACCAGTACATGTTTTATGAATAAAAATAAAATTTTTTGGTAAGTGACCTTGAGTCAAAAAAACAAACAAACACTCATTTAATCATAATTTTTTTTTTTTTATTAAAAGACTTGAACACTACTATTTTACTACCTTGCAAGCACTGTTATTTCCTGTGGGAAATGCTAATCGAATAATGACTGTACATACCAATTCTTGCTTGCTCCGCACCAGCACTGTCTACAACCTCATAGGCACATTTAATTTCGTCCAGTTTCATCTGCGGGGCAATAAGTCATCCAATGTAACATCTAGACTGGCCCACACAATACTATTAGAATGACTGACAGCAACTGCAGATGGACTTCAATGACCAGAAAATAATTAGTAAAAGGAATTCAAAGCTTTCCAACTGAAAGAAGCAGATGTGTGGTGACGGTGTATGAGTCTTACCCTCAGGAGTGTTTGTGAGATTCTAAAGAGCTGAATCATTTTCTCTGAATCATCTGCTTTCAGGTCCCGTGGTTTGACCTACGTGGGAAGGAAAGCATGATTATCAGATGAATTTGCAGGGAGAATGTTTTTGTCCCTCACACATTCCAATAAACAGATGTAAGTCTGGAACAAAGCAAAGATACAGATCTTCAGCATTTTTGCTAGTTCTAGATTTTTTCTTTCTAGATCAAAAAGTAATCTGATTATATAACCTAAAATGTGTAATATATATATATATATATATATATATTATGTAATATATATAAAGCTATTATTAATAGATAAAATACAAAAGAGTGAAATAGTGAAATATGAGACGTTTTGTGTGATAAAAAAGGTAAATATCACATATGAATAATATTTTATAATATTTGAATAAGTGTCAAACTACAAAATAGTGTGAAATTATTACCAAAAATATGTGTTTACATGATTTAGGAGATGTTAAATATTCTGCCATTTATTTCCAAAAATGTTTTAAATATAATTTTTATCACTGTCATTTCCACTACCGAATGTTATTTAAACATAAAAAATTAATAAAGTGAAGATCCTGATTCCTTATGATTGTACTTATCTACACAGTTTTTATGCCTTAAAATGATACACTTACCATCAAAATCACATCACAGATTTTCTCATCATCTTCTCCCAGATCTTCTGGGTCTGCTCCCATGAGCAGCTTCCAGTCTGCGGCTGCAGGCATCTTTCAGCTTTTGTATAAATGTCCTACAGCGCTGAACTGAACAACATTTAACCTGTTTAACTGATGTCAGATATCGTTTTATTGCCAAACTTCCACACAGACAGTAAAATGTAATGCTAATGTACAGTATTCTTATTCACATAGACTTCTTACAGGGCACTATGAATACACCCTCATATGTGAATGCAGAATAATAACAGCATTACAATAAATAAGAGGTTAAAAGACAATCTAGATATTAGCAAGCATTGTTGTTTTAGCATTGTATACAATTGGTCATATTTAGTTTAGTTTGTTAGGTATAGTGTTAAAAATGGAATATTGGTTTTACACGCGTTGCTTAATGCCACAAATGCAACTTGTGTACGTATTCATAAAAAAGAAAGACAGAAAATCACGCATTCAGACCTTACTGATAAAACAGCCTAGCCATCTTGTGTTCCCCTTGTTCTGCTGCTGCTAGGCAACCATGACAACAGTCGTAAAGCGGAACGTCGTAAATCCGTCTCCTTGGGCTCTTGTTTTTACGCCGTACGATTTCGCTCATTAAATTATTCCCCATTGTGCAGTACGTTCATTACAAAGGATATAATAGTTGAGGTACAAATTCCACTTAGTAAAGTAGAAATAAAAGGAAGAATTAAAAAACACATGAATAAAAAGTGGCAGGAAATGTGAGACAAGGATTTAAAGGGCAGACACCTATACAATATCCAAAAACAAGGGAAGCGGTTTTTGGTCCTTGCTAATTCAGTGCTTTAGATCGAACTTGATGCTTCAGCCAAAATAAACTCACACATTCTCTTTTAATTTCGTTTTAACCAGAAATGACAAGGTGAGTTGTCCATGTGTTTATATATTACCGCTCACTGATGGCGGATTGAGAGTGTTTGTTTAAATGACTGAAGTCAGTGCATGCTGCTGAAGTTAGATTTGATGTTTAATCAGATCAGTGTCCTGTTAATTTAAACCAGTTTCTTCTAAATATCACTACATTCCTTATTTATTAGTGATGGATGTTGCATTGATGTTTTTTATAACTGTAATGACGGAATTATTCGATTAATCTCAATGAAAAGCAAATGCTAACTGATAGCTGGATGGGCTGGTCCTGGTTTATGAGCTCCGCTCATTCCGCACAGATTATTGTATTATTCTGATCATTCGACTGATTTATTCGTGTTTTTAGGTTTGCAACATAGCGGCAAAAGGTCGCAGTGCCGTGGGCCGATTTAAACAATGTTATAAATGTCATAGATCTTTTCAGGGGATTTTAAAATTATGTTTTAAAGGCAGGAAAAGGTAATTGAAATTAATTAAATATTGAAAGGCATGGATTTTTTTAATAGTGATTATATATTTGTCCAGCTCTGATCTATTCTAAAATATTCATAAAATAAAATATGCCAAATGTATATTGCACGTGTAGCAGTGTTTGAAGTATTGTTTAAATACTCTTTTATAACATTAATAATATTTTGAATTAGCTTTTTTATTTTTAATTTTTCAGTTTTAGATTTAATTGTACTTTAAGTGTAAGTAATTTTGTTTGTTTTTTTGTCAAATAATAAAGATAAAGATAAAACTGTAAACGGTAGAAACAAAAAATGCTCAATAGTTTGAAATGTTGACCACTATTAAGCGATGAAAAATAAATCCGATCATAGATGGCACTATAGAGCACAGAAATAAAAATATGGACTTTATTTATTTATTTTTTGAATGATCCGTGGAAACCTTTCCACAATATTGGATTTTTGACTAGTTTATAGCAAATCTAGCATGCATGTAGTCTGGAAAGCCATTGTCAACAATCATCAAAAACATTTTAAAGTTCAGCAGGCCATCCGAGGTCAATGAAGAATGTAGGGCGTGGCCTAGTTTATTAAAACAGCTATAATTTCTTAAATAAGTAATTGCGATGAAATTTGGTGAATTTATATAGTATGTTACTCTGAGAAGGCAACAGGAAATGACTCTACTTAGCCTGTTGGTGGCGCTATAAAATTCATAAACTTTAAAATAGCTCTAATTATTTTGTATGCAGTGTCTTACGTGAATAAATGAGTTCTTTGCAATGAATCAAAGCAGTTCACATAAGGTCTGAATGGCTCATTAATGGTCTGAATCAGAATGATTCTGTGATCATATCAGGACTCAGGAGTGGCAGTTGTTTCTCCTCTGCTCTTGCAGTGCTCAATGAGGTCTCACGTCAGCGATGGCTGTAGTGTCGTGGAAGGAGATCTGTCTTCTGACTGGACTGGTGGTGGGCTGCTACTGGAACAGCCTGTTCTGTGGTTTCGTGTTCGATGATGTCTCTGCTATCTTGGATAACAAAGACCTTCGCCCCACCACACCACTGAAGAACCTCTTCCTCAATGACTTCTGGGGCACACCTATGTCAGAGGTAACCTTGAAGAAATTCAGCTCGGTTTCTCAAGACGTGATGTTTTTGGAGGCTTGTATCCAACCTTGTTTTTTTTTTTATCCAGGAGAGGAGCCATAAGTCCTACCGGCCGCTTACTGTTCTCACCTTCCGCCTCAATTACCTGTTCAGCGAGTTGAGCTCCTCATCATACCACCTCCTCAACGTGGTTCTCCACGCCGTGGTGTGTGTCCTCTTCCTCCACTTCTGCCGTCTGCTCTTGGACCGAAGCACCAGCCTCATAGCGGCTCTGCTGTTTGCTGTCCATCCCATCCACACAGAGGCTGTAAGTAACTGCTATTATGTCACAGATTCATCAACATGGTTTATGTTACAAAATCATGAAGACAAGCTTCATTTGTAGAATTTGCTTCTGCTACTTTCATGTAAAGGGACTCTATTGGTCAATATGCCACAATCATGTTGAAGTTTCCTTTATGATTTACTCTTCGCCTTTGTTGCTTGAAGAAACTATCTTTGGCACAAAGTTGAGGAACAAACACTTGAATTAAGTGTCTTTGCAGATGCCACCTCATGGTGGCAGTAATAGACAGAGCTTGCTGTCCCAGTGTGCATTGCATGTAAATAGTCGTGCATTATCATGGAAAAACTGTTTGGAATTGAGCCTTTATCATTTCAGTCAATATTTATTTCATATGTTGTTGTTGAGGTATCACTTAAAAAGAAAGGACAACATAAGGGCAAAATCCTCGGAGAGGGTAATTGACCTTGTAGCTCAATGAAGTGGTACACTATCTGATTAGAGTACTTTGCTCTAGGACTGGTGTTTGTTTATCAGGTAGAGATCTGTGCTGCTCGTGAAATGGTTGGGGGATCAGTCCCTGTGCGGGTGACCTAAGAACTGGAGTGTTGATCTGATCTTAGTCTTTTCTCTAAAACTATTATACCCTCTACCACAGTGCTTATCTTTAGACCGACTATAGAAATGATGTATAGTACGTTTCTTTGCATAAAAAGTTCCTGCCTAATAAGCAAAAAAAAAAAAAAAGTAACATTTAGTAACAATAATGAATAATATTATACTCAATTGTTTTGTTTATAGTATTGAAATAGTCTAAAAGGGTTATTGAATTAATATTATATTTGTTTTTTATAATATGTAATTCTGAATATTAAATTGTTTTTGATCAATTATATTTTTGTAATAATAAGTTTACATTTATGCATTTAGCAGATGCTTTTATCCAAATCAACTTACATTGCATTCAATGGGATCAGAATTATAAATTTCTATAATTATAAATAGCATACACTATATATATAATATGCATTTTATATATATACCCAAGACGTGTCACTCGTATAGTTTTGAATGAGTAACAATGCAACGCTCAATATGTCCACTCTATCAAATGAAGCCCCGCCTTCCGAGTAAAAGAGCCAATCGCTAATGGGAGAAGTCATCGTTAGAAGTCCCGGTTGCTATAGAAACAGTCAGCGTTCTGAGACATGCGCTTAGGACTGCGCATGCGCACTGGCTGATCTAGCCTGAAAAATAAGCTTTTTTTTTTTTTTTTACATTATTTCAGCAAAATAAACAACATTTATGATACAGTTGTCAGATTTCATTGGTGATTTCAAATATGAAATTTAATCGTAAGCTTGGTGAACAGTTTTGGAGATTTTGATGTTTCCCCATTCAAAGAGATAGGAGCTGCACTTGCATGCCCAAGAGGTGTTTCAAAGATGGCCGCCGATATATATTTCCACTGCTGCAATTAGATTAACCATGTTTATTGCAAAAGCTAAAATACAGACATGTCTTTTTGTCATTAAATTAACTAAATAAATTAACAAAATGTATGAAAAATGCCTTTTAATTAACTTTTTTTTTCAGGCATGATGCAAACAAATCATTTAATGTTGATTCCTTTTGTTTAGTGATTCACAGAAATGAATCAAACTCTGAAGCTCCAAGTTTTGCCACTGAGGTATAAATCAGACACATTATAAAATGGCTTATCTTAATCGAATTTAAATCTGGAAATAAACAGAGTTTAGGGGGAAAATACGTTCAGTGAATGAGAAATATTTTAAGGTCACTAATTAAATAAGCAAATTTGTGACTCTGAGCATGTGAACTCCTCAAAGGTCAGATTCTTTGCTTCCATTGAGGCACAAGATGCTGTTTGGATCATTCTCAAGTCGTGGTCATTGGGGTTTTCACAAACTTTTGGAGGTCATGCAGTTTGAGTGCTGCTGTCCATGAAGCAAAACCGAATATTAAACATTCTGAAATGTAACTTTTCAATCAAATTTATATGCTTATGCTATAATTTGTAATAAAAAAATGCATTAAATTAAAGAACTTTTGCGCTGTTTGTTTGTCTTTTGGACTCCACTGTATATAATGTTATGTAACAATTAATTATACCATATGATGATTTTATATAATTGTTTGGATTATTTTCAGCAAAAGTTCTCACAGGTTGTATGAAAGGGAAAAAAATGATTTGTTTTACAGTTATGATTGATTGCTTAAAACTGGTTCCTCTTGCACCTGTCACATGACTCTTCATGGCATAGACTTTCCATCCAATCTCCAATCGTGGCGTAAGAAGAAACCTTACTGTAAAAACACACTTTATAAAAGATCATGTCAATCAAACATAAGACACTTCATTTTACATGCATCAGATTGGCATGTATTGGTTAATTGAAATTCCACCTGTTGCGAGTGTGGAGAGATTTGCACATTGAGCTGTTGAAATCTTTCGCTATGTGCAGGTGACAGGTGTCGTTGGCAGAGCTGAGTTGCTGTCCTCCATTTTCCTGCTGGCTGCTTTCCTGGCATACACCAAATCAAAAGGCGCCGATCACTCCATAGGTAAGCGTTGCCATCGCATAACCGCATAATCCCTGCATGCACGCTGCAACAAGTTCATTCCTAGGACACGACGCGCAAGCTGCGACTCGCCTCTCATTCAAAAGCTCACCGAGCTCCCCACCCAGAAGTCTTGAGTACACAGCTCGTTTCACAGATCGATCAAATTGGCATGTTGTTTCTGACTTGATGCACTTCAACACAATTATTATATTAT